TCAACCTTGGATTTTAACATCGTGTGTAATCCACCATTAAATAAGCATTTGTAAAGAGCCCTATGCTCACCATGTCCACACAGCAAGTCAGACAAGGAAGAGGTATTCCTTTGTGCATAGCTACATCTCTGCCCATGCAATAAACCCCGCAGCTCATTCCAACTGCAGCCCCTTTCCCTCCTCACAGGCTTGGTGGTGCAAGGCTCTTGGACAGGTGGTGCATTAAGTGCTTGCAGTGGTCTGCTTTATAATTTCAAATGTGAAACATTTGTTTCACCACTTCAGGCAATAAAATGCATTTATAGAGCCCCCAGCTTTGCAGGGTGAGGCTGGGGTGAGCTGAGCTGCTGGGATGCCTCTTGCTTCTTCCCAGCAGTCACCACTGCTTTGGGGGGAAGAAAAGTTCTTCCTCAGTCCAGGCAAAGGAGCTGCTCTAGTTTTTAATTGGATACAGACCACTCGCTCCCATGAGGCCATGGGCACTACTCTGAATCACAGAGTGGTTTGAGTTGGAAAGGACTTCAAAGCTCATCCAATTCCAACCCCCTGCCATGGGCAGGGACACCTTCCACTAGACCAGGGCTTACTCCAAGCCCCATCCAACCTGGCCTTGAACACTGCCAGGGATGGGGCAGCCACAGCTTCTCTGGGCAACCTGTGCCAGGGCCTCAGCACCCTTACAGGGAAGAACTTCTGCCTAAGATCTTGTCTCAGTCTTCCCCCTTGTCCTGGCTTGTCCTGTCCCTGCAGGCCCTTGTCCAAAGCCCCTCTCCAGCCTTCTTGTTGGTCCTTGTTTTTGCCAAAAGAGCACACCTTTGGTTCACATAAGAAGCTCCTGCTTGTTACTATGGAGCATGTTGCTCCCCCTCTATTTATGCAGTTAGCTCCAACCTTTTAAAAAAATAAACGTGAGCAATTTTCCAGCCCTTCCTCCAACCTGCCACAGTTGTTTCCCAATCCTGCTTCTGCCTTCCCAAGCACTCACTGCTGCACTTAGCCTGATGCCATCAGAAGCCCCCTTCTGCAACCTCTGCTGCTAGCAAAGCACCAAATTTGACCTTATGCAAGACTAAAACCCTGGACCCTCAAATTAAATTATGCTTCATGGAGTAGGATAATCACTGAAATTAGTTTGAAGCATTTTTTTAGCAGGCTATTCCCTGCTGAGTTTGCCTCAAGGATTAGAACAGCATTTTAGGGCATAATTCACCAAACTCCTCTTTTTAGGGTTTGGGTTTTTTTTTGCTATTTAGAGGTATTATTTTGTAAGAGACAGGATGGGAACATTCCGCACACCCTTGGTGCTATTCATGAACTCCACTGCACTGGAGCATCGGTTTCCTACGGACACCCACCCCGCAGCACCCAGTGCTCCATGACGCTGGGGCACCTGCAGCTCTGGAGCTGCCTGAGCACAGCCCATCTCTTTGAGCAAGAAGAAACATTTCTGCTTTCTCAGCAATATCTTTAAATATCTTTCTCTCAAAAGCAAATAAACAATGATAAATATTGTTCTCTTAAGTCAGGGAGGTCCCTCACACTTGACTTTGCAGACTGTGAGTGCTTGCGTGGGACAGCAGCAGTCCCACAAGCCGTTCTGCTTGATTTTGCAGACACCTCTGCAGGGATTAGGGATGCGGCTAGACTTGAATAGTGTTGAGGCACTCAGCCAACTCACACTGTAGATGGGAAAAACCTTTACTGAAGATTTGCTACTAAAAGTCAAAAGTGCCATCCTGGCAGGGAGACTGTGCTCCCCTCTCCCCACTTCACTCGGTAGTGAAATCTGTTTTTTCACGTTTACTAGTTCTGGCTTTCAGTGCAAATCAAACTGAAAACTAGGTTTTGCTTCTTCATTGCTTTGCTTCCCTGCTCCCTGAACTCCTTTTCCTCCTATTCTTGCTCCTTCATAGGCCAGTCTTTTAAGGAATTTACTGCCTTGGTAGAAAATCTGCTAATCTACATTAGCAGAAAAGCTTGGTGCATCTCCTTGCAAACCAAAAATAAGAACTAAATGAAATCTCACCAGGATGCTCTGGCTACCTCTGTGTAGATTAAGCTGTTTGTTTCACTTGCTGCATTGCTTGATTTTAATCCAGTTTGGTTCAGGACACATAAAATAGCTGCTTTTCTTCCCTCCAGGAAGCAGCAGGCACAGCCAGATTCAAGTGAAGTGCTGGCAGGTCCTGCATCACATGCATGCACACCACACCGAGGTCACTTCTTCCCTCACCCTTTTTTAGGACTACCTTTTGTCATTTGCAGTATTTTGGATTATGTTTGTTGAAATCTTATGCTTGAGTCACTCCAACCTGAGGGATAAATCAGACAAGGAGATGCAAAGTCCCAATAGCATGAGGCCAGGCATGAGCTGGCTGCCTCCTCACCCTTCCCTGCCCAGGCTTTTTCTCACTACAGCCTAATGCAGGATCATGCCTGTTAGACACAAACGTGGAGAACAGACCTTCTCTGTAAAACTAGGCTCCCTCCAACTCTGGCTTCCCCTTCCCTGCCAGCTGAGCCAACATCAACCCTGCTCCTCCCCAGGGAGCAGTGTGAACCAGTACAGTCCCTGGGTTTCCTGCCAGGTTGCCACCACAGCCAGCTCTGTGCTGTGCCTAAGATCCAGTGTCACAAGAATTCAAATTAGGAAAGAAAGGTGCTGCCCCACAGTAGGCTGGAGAGAAATACTAAAGTACGGCTGTGCATAGCTAAGAGCAGGACCTGCCATGTTGCCCAGCTTTACCCACTGCCTCACATATTTACTACAGGAATTGTCAAGGGGCCACTGTGCTCCTTGGTAACAAAATCCTCCCAGAGACAGAGTCAGAAATATCCACGTAGTGACTTACAGCCTAAACCACCAGCGAGGCAGCTCTACTATGCATAGCGCAGAGACACTGATGCTTTTCTTCCTTCCCTTCCAGAATCTGCCCCTTTGACTCCAGGCAGAGATTAGCAAATACTTAATTAACACATTCGACCTTTAACAGCCCTCAATGTGGATGGCCCTCTGTACACAAGGTAGGTGGTTTCCTGGAGTCTTCTGCCAACGTGGGACTAAGGAGAGCATTTTGAGGTTCTCCACATCTCATCTTTTAAAAAAATTTTCAAAGCCTGTATTTGAAAATGGACAGAACATGAAGTGTCATCTCATTATTATTTAATGGCATTTAAGTTTGTAAGTCTTATTCCTGTAGGGCAGGATAAAGTAGAAAACAAGTGCTATCTGAAAAATTCAAAGCTGAGAGGTCTTTTAATTCCTTTTCCTATGTATGTTTAAAATTTTCCAAATTTCTCATGGAAAGAATGGGTTGAGGGTTGAAGATGAGGCATTGATGATGCCTGAAAACAGCTGAGAATGAGCAGCTTATCTCATTGTACTGTTGGCCTGCTCCACCTGATTTTAGCTGGAACATTTCTCACAGTATTCTTTATACTAACCCTTTGCTCCTGATCATTGTTGAATTGTCAAAAAGTCAAATGCCAGCAAGTTTATTTCCAGTTAAAAGGCTGACTCCACTCACTCCTTGCCTCTCCCCACATCTGGTCAGGGCAGAGAGGTTCCGCAAGAGCTCTTGGTTCACTGAAAGCCTTCCTTATTTCAGGCTGAAGCTGAGAAACCTCACCTACATTCAGGTTTATGTTTATGAGATGCACAGTGTGCATCACCAAAACATTCGGTACAACAGCATCAGTTGTATTTGAAAATGACAAACTTTATTTTTACAATATGTTACAGCATATAAAAATAGAGGAACAAAATACTATACAGAAAATATAGAAAGTGAAGCAGAGATCTTTTCACACCCCTTACCATATCCTTAGATAAGGGTCTAAGAGCCCACCTGGCCAGCACACATCCAACCTGTGATCCCACCTTATGGGCACAGATCTACATCAACCAGTTGGTCTGCAGCACACTTGTACACAAACACAACTTGAAACTGTGACCAGCTGGTGAGCTGGCAGCTAGGATTTAAGGCAGGCAAAAGGCCAGCAAAAGCAAGTTGACAACATCCCTGAGTTCCCACCAGTTCCTCAAAGTGTGTGGGGGGATCAAATCCCCAAAAAAACCCCGAAAACCAGCCAGTATTCTTTTCCAAGGTACTGGCTTTTCTGGTACATCACTGTCTTTAAGGAAGGACACCATAGGATGCCGCAGACAACAGTACAAGAATCATCTCCCTCTTCCTTACCTGTCCTCCAGTACTACAGCTTCTTTTTTCATAGTCAAACTGTCCCAGGTTTGCTTGTGGGTGAAGCAGGGAAGAGAAGGGGAAGGAAACGAGGGCAGAGAATGAAGGAGTCGCAGTGCAAATTATATGCTCAAGAAAAAGTAAAACCCACAGAAAAAGGTTCTCTGTAGATCTTCTAAGCCTTTTCTCTCCATGGCCACAAAATGGTCTGTCCTTGTCAAGGAATAACTGCCAACTGACCCTAGATCTTCAAAAGAACACAGAAGTACGTTCCCTAAAGCAGCAGACTTGCTTTTACACAGGGTATCATCAATGCTAGTGAGATGCCAACACTGCCACCTCTTCACTACCAGTAATCACAGCAGGACTCCACAGGAAAGTGCAGTGGGAGTCTCGGGTCTTCAAGTTCCCTCTTATTTTGTTGATTCATAGAAGAGATTTGCAAGTCCCTGCACTCTATTCACACTGGGAAAAAAAAAATAAAATTAGCAACACACACTGGAGAGAAGCCAAGAACTATTGCTGTGCTGAGGCAGCTTGAAGAGTTTGGCTGAAGAAAATTGGCCAAATAACAGAGTCATAGAATTGAAATATAGGCAGGTCTAGAAGGAATATGGAGGAAAAAGGGGATTGCTCCTGGCATGAGAACATGCCCGTTCCTGCGTGTTTGCAGAAAGGGGCCATGGTAGTTCCTGTCTCCTGTCAGCAGTGTGTGTAGGACAGCAGTCTAGGATGGAGCATTGTGTAGGGTTAATCAGCAGCATATCTGGAAGGCCTCTCTGGCAGGTGTAGGGACCACTCTCACTGCCACTTGTAGATCTTCACCAGCCTCTCTGTCAGAGCAGCCAGGAGGTGGGCTTGGTTCACTTCCATGGGGCAGATGTCCAGCACAGGCAGGTCAGCCTGCAGCTTCTGCAGCAAGGACCCACTTCCAGCATCCCATAGCTGTAGGACAGACAAAGTCAAAAACTGCAGGATTCTCCCCTCCCATCCAGAACACAGCTTCCTCCCTCTAGAGAGACTTTCTTCAAGTGACTTACAGGGCCCTTTCTCTACGTTCACATCCTGCTTGGATGCCCTTTAACAGTCTTGCAGCATGATGCCACCCTCAGTGCCCTGTCCTCTCACTCTGACTCATGAGCTCTCATACAGACTGTTGTCCACCTTCTGCATCTGAGCTGCCTTTTTATAAAGGGCAACCCTTTTCTTCACCTTTCCAGTCATTCCCAAAGAGCCTTGGTCTGTCCCTCACAGCACTTACCATGTGAACTATCCTATTGAGTGTTACACCATTTACAGTACCCAGTTGTGCCAGTGTGCCCACCCACAATCCTCTGGTGGACACCACCTACATTCCTTTCAAGGGATGTGGACCACAAGCTATGACTAATACAAACAGTCCCAACACTATCAGAAAGTTACACCTGCTACAGCAAGTACAACAGCCCAACCTGCACAGGGTGATGGGCATGACAAGGCAATTCCCACCAAAACCCACTGAAGCTGTGACTGCTAAGGCTTCTCTCCTAAGAACCCCAATAAAACCCACCACCACCACACTGAAAGGAACAACAGATACCAGTGCGGAAGTGGATGCCTCATCACCAGCACAGACAAAGATGCTGCCATCCTCCTCCGGGCTCTGGAAAATAGCATTCTTGGTCAGCAGCTTGCAGGTGGGCCCAGCACTGAAAGTCTGAACCAAGTTAGAAGAACACACAAGGTCTTCAGAGGTCTCTGCCAGTGGGCTGCAAGTCAGCTCCATCATCACACAACGCACACATGGGTTATTTTTACCTGGAAGGCAGAAGTAAAGAGGTAATTTAGTTGCAGACAAGTTTTAACTGTAGGAACAGATGCAGCACCACCATGAAGCTGCCTCCTTCTGCCCTCACCCAGTTCTTATCTCCATGCAGATTCTAGCAGCCTTCCATAAGTATCTGAAGGGGCCTACAAAGACACTGGAGAGTGACTCTTCATCAGGGACTGTAGTGAATAGGACAAGGGGTGATGTGTTTAAACTTAAACAGGGGAAGTTCAGGTTAGACAGAAGTTCTTCCCTGTGAGGGTGGCGAGACCCTGGCACAGGTTGTCCAGAGAAGCTGTGGCTGCCCAATCCCTGGAAGTGTTCAAGGCCAGGTTGGACGGGGCTTGGAGCAACCTGCTCTGGTGGAAGGTGTCCCTGCCCTTGACAGGGGTTGGAACTGGGTGAGATTTAAGGTCCTTTCCAAACCAAACCATTCTGTGATTCTATGATTCCCAGTGCCTGGGGCAAGTATCACATTTCTGCTATGCCCTAGGCACAAAGCTGCTCTTGAGCTCCACCAGCAGCAGGCCAGCCTGGCAGTGAAAAGTGCACTGCAGACACGCCGTTACATACTGGGCCTGTATGTTGCGAGGCAGTGCCGTGTGCTGATCTCTGCTTGAAGATCAATGCATCCTCCAGGTTCCAGTGGCAGGTGATGAGGCTGGTAAGAGTTGCCAGCTTTCTGTTCCCAAAAGCAGGCTCCTTCCAAGGTGCCAGCTAAAATTCCACCGTAGGGCAGTGAAGCTGAGTCCATCCGGGGCAGATAGGACAGTGATACCATGGGGCACCTGAGAGGGAGGTTGGCAAGTATCAGTGCTGGCACCTGCAGCCCTGCTGACTTCCTGCCTCACTGCTGCAGAGCTCCAGCTTCTCCAACCACACTGCAAAGAATGGGCGTCAGCAGGCTACGAGATGGTCTTTCAAACAAGCAACCCCAATGGCTTTATCAAGAAAAAAAGTAGTTAAATTTAACTTATCTACTGAGCCTTATGTTTAAGGAAGCACCAGAAAGCACACATCAGATCTATGGGGTAAATCAGCATTTGATTCTCTGAGCAGAAAAGATGGAAGTACCAGCATCTCACACTTCTTTGTAATCTGTCCTTTACAAGTTAAACAAAACCCAGCTTCAGAACAAATTCAGTTTTCCTGCTG